ATATATATATATTATTTTTTTATTAAAAGGAGAATTAGAATTTAACATATTATACAGTTCTGTGCAAAATTTAGACCACTCCTCATTTATTTAATTCCAGCCAAAACAGCCAGTACGTGCAAGTTATTAATTTTTCAGCAGAATATGCAGAAAAACAGATATTTACCTGAAAATTACACAAAAACCTCAACAGAATTCATACATTTTTAGTATCTAATATTTAGTCAATCAGTATTAACAACTGCCAATCTTGCTTTTAGCTTTTTAAAGAAATCTGCAGGGATATTTTTATACCTCCAAAATTCAGTCTTAGAAGTTCGGCTTAGAAGTTCTTCAGTTAGACGTCATTTTATGCTTCTCACAATCCAAGTGTTTCCAATCACTTTCAGTGATGTTGAGATCTGGGCTCTGGAGTGGCCAGTCCATTGCTTTGACAACACCAGCAGCTTCTATGTTTGATCAGCAATTTTCTACTTTTTTTGTCTGTTTACTTTTCTCATCCACAGAATCTTAACAGCTACACATCCTTTCAGACACACAGCACTGAGTTGTCTTCTCACAGTTCGAAGAACAGACAGAAACAGAATTTTTTCTCTCTCTCTCTTGAACTCTCAAAGATGAACGTTTTAAGTACTATTTATCTGATGGGGTCAGTTTTAGCGGTCTAACGGGTCTTGCATGGTTGTTACCAGTTCCATTTTCTATGCATATTTTAGTTTGAACACTTCTCTATTTTTTGCACATACTTCACTTTCATTTTTCAATGTACAAGTGGATTACCTTGCGTTTAATCTCCTCAGAAATATCTCCTGATAAATAAATAATTTGTACATACTTGCCATTTTGACTGGAAATTTAACATATGAAGGGTGGTATCTGATTTTTGCAAGGTACTGAATACAGTAGAAAACTATGTTTGCTCTCTCACTGGGTGAGGGGGAGGGGGTAGGCTAACTTTAGACTAATCTATTCAGAGTAGATATCCAAAAAGATGTGCCTGAGGTTTGGTTGCAAGGCTCCTGCCACACATGCAAACCTAAACAAAAACAAATATACACATCAAGGACCAAAAACGTTGATTTGCTAAGATGTTTTGATAAAAAATAAAAAAAAAACTAATACTGAACACAGTCCATCTGTGAAGAGGAAAACTGCGAAAAACAGGTTTTGTACATGTGCGTGTAGTAGTAGGCACACACACACCACTTGCAAGACAAAATACAAAAACATAAAGTACAAGCACACATGAACAGACAGATGGAAAATGATTTGGCTCTTAAAGCTACTGCCACGTGAGATGCTGTTTTGTTTTCAATGTTAAAAGCTGTAAAGGGGTGTCAAGCTTCCTCGTTAATAACCCACAGCAAAACCTTCGGCAGAGTAAACCCCACACAGAGAAGAAACCGAACAGAGACGAAAAGCTTGAAGGAGGGAAGAGAGAACACATTAAAGTTTCATGATGGATTTCTCTCTATATAAAGACTAGAGAAAGAGCAAAGGGGCTCTGCACAACTGAGGAAAAAATGTGGGGTGGGGAGTGAAAGATATAAACTTTTCCCCCAGCTTTTTTTTCTTTTTTTACTACACACGCACCTTTCACTGCCCACATGGCTGTTGCATCATAAACGCAGGTGATCTATTATTCATAATGTGGACAGGACAGAACAAGACAGACAGACTACTGCAATCCTCCACCACAAGAGAGAGAGAAAGGGAGAGAGAGAAACAGACAGATAAGACAGAGTGTGACTCTGATTATACCCCTAACTTCAGTATTTCTCCCTTGACGTACTCTCCCTGTCCCTACAGTGAGAGCCGTATTTAACTAGAACACTGGGGTGCAGCACATCCAGAGCTTTCCTTACACTTCAGTCTACATGCACCCAATATGCCTGACTGAGGGGAACTGACAAGAGCTGACAATCACACACAGAAATGTACGCAGCCTTTAAATCAGCAACTCTGGGCTGTATAGGTTGGATCAGTCACTGCAAGGCTCATCCAGGACTACCTAACCATAACCACAGCCATGAGTGATAACATGATGCTGCTACTTACAATACCACTATGCAACTATTAACTATTGAAAACAATATAGATGTCCACTGGATGTTCCATGTTGCTGTTAACTTACAGCACCTTCTCATGCATTACATTACTTGATACTGGCAGATTCTTCTAGACACTTGTAAGGAAGAATTCTGGGGCAAACATATAGTATAAGACAAACTGAAAAACATAAAAAGCTAAACATCTAACTCAGCAGCCTTTTTTACTGCAGTGCTCTGTGATAAATCACATGAAATAGAATGCAAAGTAAGTGCTGCATGTCCTGAATGCTAATATTACTGACACTTGTTCTTCAGGGCCCTTGTTACACTTCATTAGCATTTGATAAATTATTCTTAGAGGAGAAAATAGTAATTGATTCAATTCAATTCAAAATTTATTTGTATAGCACTTTTTTTTTCCAATGGCCTTTGTCACAAAGCAGCTTTACAGAAATCTCGGGCCAGGTCCCCAGTGAGCAAGCCGAAAGCGACTTTTCTGAGAGTGAGATTAGGAAACCTTGAGAGAAACCAAGACTCAAAAGGGGAACATCCTCCCCTGGTCGACGCCGGATAGCAAAAGAGTAACACAACAAAACAATAAGTGCTATGCAATAGTGAATAAGGAATGACTAATCTGTGTACAGTAATAAACGATGAGAAAAAAAACAAAGTGAACTTAATCAAAAAGGTTAAAAAAAGACAATGAATATTAAATCTGATTCTGTGATTGGCATGAAACACAGAAGGGTGAACAGGTAAGAAAGTCAGTATAGTTAGAAATAGGTGTACAAAGTCAGTAAATTAGTAGTTTTAGTTAAAGTTTATGCAGGAGTCAGCTGACACCAGCCCAACAGCCCCCAAAAGGGGAAGAAATGATGGACTCTTCATCTATATTCTTCTATTATAACCTCTCACAATCGATGGATGTTGAATGGCTTCCATCTTTACATTTCGCCACTGTCTGATTTCACTACATTGTGACAGAGGAAATGGTGGTGATTTTGGACAATCAGATATCAAGGCAACTTACAGTTTTGAAATCATACAAATTAAATCCCCCCTAAATCGACTTTAGGCTTTACAGATGACCACACTACTGCTCTACCTTATTTTAAAGCCAAGATGAGCTTGAATAGGATTCATATTAGGATTTATATTCTTATTTGTCCCTAAGCATGAGGTAAAGCTTAGGTATTCAAGCTTATCAAGCCAAAGGAGTTCTGGTTTGTGTCTTTACACCCAGCAAGCCAGACAAAGACAGAGGCAAGAGGACAATATATCAGAGAGAAGAATAATCAAAGAGATTATGAAGTAAAAAATAACAGAGGAAAGAGAGATCAGGAATGTATAAGTTTTTACAGAATTACCATACATAATTCCATGTGTGCACATGTGTGTGAGAGAGAGAGCAGGAGAGTGCGCGTTTCTTATGAAGTATTGCGAAGTAAAAAGTAAATCACATCTCTGAGGGCTGAAGCTAGATAAAGAAAGCAGCATGTGTGCCGCACATTCTCTTTCACACACATGCAGAAACAGATACACACAGAGAGATGAGGAAAAGAGCCGAGCCATAAATATTTATATAAAGACAAACGCAAGAACAGAACCCCAGGAAGACCCGTCAAAGAGAAAAATAGAGGGAAAAGGCAGGGACAGGAGAGGACGCGTCGCAGGGAGCGAGACGAGGAAAGATGAGAGTGAGCGAGGAAGAGAGAGAAAAGAGTGAGCGTTCTCTGTTGTCTGGGCGAACTGCAGGCTTTTTCTGGCCCTCTCTTATCTGCCTGCCGGTGTCTCCTGCACCCCACTGCCTAGCCTTAGGGGGCTGAGCCTCCATCCATCCATCCCTCTGACTCCATCCCTCCATCCTCTACTCTTCATCCTTTCCCCCTGAAAAACTACCTTTCCTTTCTTTCATCCTCTTTGTCTCATCGAGTTTATATGTAGCCTTTCCCCTACTTCTTAATCTGCACACAGAGCTGAGACAGCCAAGCAGCTTCGCCAAAAAACATACAGCAAAACTGACGCATCAGTAACAGCCTCACCACGGTGGAAATTGGGGCCCCTGTAAATCAAGCATTGCATTTTTTATAATCTAATTATTAAAAAGGTCACAAGTGTTCATGGCTAATTTGAGTTCAGTCAAAGAGAAAATACAATGCAACATTAAAAATGTTATTTTTCAAGATAGATTACTTTGAAATCAAATGGTCTGAAATAAACTAATCATTTGTTCTTCTTTGGATCAAGACAGAGAGACCCACTGATGGTCACTTAAAGGGGAATCCCACCAATTTTTCAAGACTGTTGCATCATTAAATTGCTAAGATGTAAACAGTCATTCAGAGTGATGTGATGTGAAATGCTGTGTTCTAGAGAAATGAATCAAGCCACAACTGTTCACAGTGGTGGTGATAGAAACCAGACATCCAAAGCATTCAAAGCCTCTGAAAGCTACCTCACAGAAAGTCACTGTACTATATGGTTATGAATACAATGCCTAATACCTAAAAAACTGATTTATGATAAGTTTGGCTTAAAACACAGGTTTATATTGTCAAATATTCTGATGATGGAGAGGTGCACGCATGGTGTTATGAGGCAAAATATTCCCCAAAGAAACTTCTTTTTTCAGATTTACCACTATTTTACCATCATCAACATTACATATAAAACTCATTGTAAAAAAACATCAGAGTGGGTTAATTTTTCTACAACGCACCATTTCTCATCAAATCACTTTTTAAATCTTAACGACCAAACTATGCAGAAGTTCTGAAAAACTGGTGGAATTTCCATTTTCTCCCTTTGTCTCCTAGTCTTTTCCATAAACACTATGAAGTCTTTTCTATCATTTTCCCATAGAAAGATGAAACAGTTGAATGTTTTACTAAGTGGTGAAAGTAAACGTAAGAGTGAATATGAGTACATGTTAAAGAGTCCTGTCCTCACCAAGCCAGTCGTTGAATTTCTTGACCTCGCTGGGCAGACCAAGCTCTGTGAAGTCTCCAGCATGCAGTAAAACGTCACCGTACGGCATCTGAATGGTGTCTGTGCGCGAGTGTGTGTCCGAGATACACACAAAGCGAGTGTAGCCAGGGGGCTTAGGGGTGTCATGTGGCAATGGATCAACCCTGAGAGAAAGCGAAAGAGTGAAATAGACAGAGAGAAAGAGAGTTTATGAAGAAATAAGAGTTAAATTAAGTTCTCTGGAGGCTTGAATAGTTGCAAAGGCAGCGGCATGTTTCTAGGGGAGAGGGGGAGACTTTTGAATAACAGTGGCCCACTTTAGAGCAACTGCTGCTGGGTCAGCCTACCTGCACCACACACATACACGCACACATAATAAAGGCAGGAAAGTAATGATAAGAAAATGTTCACTGCACAAATTGCAATGAACACAGACAAACGCAGACCGCACATGACTGTAGTTTTGATCAGAGAACACTCAGCAGAAGTTTCTGATGTTTGTTAAGAGTGCTTATTTGTTTATACCACTGTTATAACTATATATGATCTGAGGCAGTTAGCATAAATGAGCATTAACAACCATAAACAACAAAACTGAGAAAATAGCAAAATAATTAATTGTGCACAGTAAAAGCATTCATTAGTACACATGAATCCTGTCACGATAAATCAATGTTAGCTGTGGTTATGGGTCATTGGGAGCACTAAGTGGTGCACTGGCCAGCTGAGCATTTATGTGGTCATGTGATAGAGCGAAGCATTGATATAATAACTATTTGCGTCCAATAGTTTAGGAATAACACACTAGTAAGCCTTCTGGGTATTATGATTGAGATCATTAAGCTGAAATGTGGGGGAAAAAACAGGCAGAAATAACACAGAAAACACAAAGCCCTAAATTGCACCAGATGCAAGCACACATAATACATTTCTCCCTCACATGAACAAATAGGTTGATCTGTATGAAAACAGAAAAAAAAGACAGTGAAGAAAAGCATAAAAATTGTTCAGGGATAACGAAAGAGATGAGGAAATGAATGCACGCAACAGTAAAAAAAATCAAAAAGCAAAAAAAGGACACACACACTCACACTTCTACAAATCAGATGAGCACAAAACCACAGAGGCGCAAATTATAAATGTGTATAAACACCGCCTTAACAAAACCTTACATCTCTGAAATGGAAACGCTGCAGGTAAGTAAAAACCTCAAATGTAAACTAATGTGAAATTTCATTCCAAGCAAATATGGACCATATTTATCCCTATCAGTCCCTTTATCATTTCACACATGCATCTGAAAAGTGCAGCTGCTGTTTTCAGATGCAGTGAAAAAACATCAAAACATGTTTTGAGAATTTCATACGACATGTATGAGAGTCTTACATGTGAACATGGGGCGGCTGGAAGCGTCCCTGGTTGATGTTGTAGAAGGTGAAGGCTTGAGTGGGGTTGGCGCTGTACTCATCCACTTCCACCACTCCTCTCACTCCTCTCTGAGTCTGCTGCTGCTGCCGCCGTGCAGCCATGATCTCCGACAGCGTGAACGCCATGGCAGCACACATACACACTCACACCCACACCCACACACACACAAACACACAAGCAAACGCTCACTCAGCTCCTTGCAGGCTGGGTGTAGGTGTGGGTGAGCGGAGATGGGATTCAGAGCCAAGAAGCAGATCAGTCTGGGTGTTCAGCGGCTGCCCCACCGCACTGCCTCTCTGCTGGGACAGGGAACCTGCATGATGATCCGCTTCTGTTCCAGTGGGAGAACTGCAGCACCTGGAATGCAGAACAGCGTGTCAGATTTTTATAACTTCTAAAAAAAGAGTCTAAAAGAGAGAAAAAGGATATTGTGAAAAGCTGAACTGGACAAGGTTGCGATGTTGACATGACACTGAGAGACACAGTGGATGACAGCACATTTCCTGGGCAACGAAATGTGACATCCCACACAAGGCCATGGTAACCGAATGTCACATTTTCTACACATGACAATAGAGCTCCTACACTTCCCGAACTATGGCTGAAGGCTCTCCACCGCAGTAAGAAAGAGAAAATTGTAGTTTGAAAAGGCGTGCATTCTTTCTTCACATCTTATTCAGTCATTCTACACTCAGGAAACTGGAAAACCTGAGAAAATATGATGTTGTAAGGTCTGTAGAAAAGTGTGTAAAGAGGGTATTGTATTCTGGGAGTCAATGGAAAGCATTCTTCTGACAGCAGACGAGTTTACCACGGTGTAATTCTGAATAATAAAAAAAAATCTTTAACATTTTTGTCAGTAAAAGAAGGAATTCAAACAATCCATCTTTAGTTTTTTTTTTGGATAGAAATTATGGTAGAAACGTCCAAGTTTATATATCATTCAACAGTTTAGGCTACTTGTTAGTTTAATATTTTCATTTCAATAGCATTGCCCAAAATAGCCCTGCTGAAAAAGGACTTTTAGAAACCATTTGGATTAAAACATAACATAACCAAGACCTCTAGTTTCTTGTACAACACCTTTAGACCCCATTAGGAAACCATCAAATGCATTTAGGATCAGCCACTGATCACCTGTTAAACCATTAAGATCCTTTACATTGTGAAATCAACATATTAAAAAAGCCAAAACACATTACAAAACCATCATTAAAGAACAGAAACACATTTTTTTCTGTTTTTGTCTTTCACCAGGGAGTCAACAGAATCTGACTATAAATCACTGAGGAGACGTGCTAACTGCACTGAAGTGTGGCCAAAGCTGATAAACGTGCGAAAAAACGGATAAAAGTGAAGCTGAAGTTAGCTTCTTGTTCGAATTTTCCCGTTCCACCTTAAATGGTGCAGCAGTTACACTGCAGCGCGCGGCTCTAGAAACGTAACTGCTGCACCATTTAAGGTGGAACGGGAAAATTCGAACAAGAAGCTGGCGATTCGAAAGCCAACTTCAGCCTCGTTCCGACCGAAACTCTGACAACATTTGTCTGGAGGAAAATTCGTACCGTGAATCCATTTTCGCCGTAGCTAACTAACAAGCGTGTCGGCTGCCTGTCGTCAACACAGCTAACGTTAGCTAACACGCTTAACCGCGATTACGGACAGGTCGGCCTGCCTCAGACCCCACCGGAGGCTCGGTTCAGCTGTCAGTGTGCCCCCTACACATGCGTGCCAACAGCGGGTGATGTGTGGAGTCCGTGTCCGCGGCGGAGTGTCACATACCCGGGGCTGGAGAAGCTGGAAGAGCCGCTGAAGTCCCGCAGAGCCGTTTGGTCGAAGAGAAAAACGACGGTTGGAGTTTAAACGCGTGGAAGATTCCAAACGGGCGAAGCGCGCGCTGGACTATTTGAAGTTGAGCTGAAAGGCGCGTAGAACGAGCGTGTGTGTGTGTGTGTGTGTGTGAGGCTCCCGCGCTCAGACACTCCCCCTTCGCTCCAGTCCTCCGTCTCTGGATCTTTCCACCATCAGACTGATGGAATAGAGGACGAAAAAAGCGAGGGACAGGCGGCTTCTCCCCCACCCTGAATCTCCTCCCCGCCGGACAGAGCCACATTTACATGCTCCCGCTCTCCAAACCACTTGGCCAGAGTAACAAAGGCCTCAGCTCTATTAGTTATAAATTTACTCCTAAATAACTCCGCTTAGTGTTCAATTAAAACTAATGTGAACACTAATAACCACCCTGCTAAAAAAGACCATTAGAAACTCGATGGTTTTGCCGTCTAATGCCCAGACAGCAGACAGTTTTGGGCCGATTCTGGCTTCCCTGTGAGTGTTGGTTGATTACCGGGTAGGTAGGGCCATATCCTGGACAGCTTCATACCGTTTTGCCTTGTGTATACATTTGTGGGACAATTCTGGCATGAATATTGTGGACCAACAACATAGTTGGGCCAGATTGGGACCAGATTTGGGCCATGTCCTTTAGTTCTAGTCACTTTACAGTGTGTGGGCTGGATCTGGGCCGAGGACCCAGACGTATACTGGGCCAGAACAAACCAAGGATGTGGCCCACAAGTGAGCCAGACAAATTTTGCTAACTGGGTGGGAATTGGCTTAATGACCACCATCACAGACCACTCGTTTCCGAATAGTTTACCATTAGATCCCATTAGAAAACTATAAAATGCAAAATGAATCAATTCCAGAATATCTGTTAAACCATTAGACTCCTTTACACTTCGGTATCAACCCATCAGGTAACAGGAAATACCACTATGTGTCAATAGGAGGCCGTCAGGAGAAAACAATAGAAACTTTCAGTGGGTTCTATAGTTTTTTCAGCATGGCAGCATGACCTGGTCACCAGCAAAGCCAGCATATGTCGTGTTTTGGATGCCGGTATGCTGGTCAAGAAGCATGACTGTGCTGGGTGACCAGCTAAATCAGCACCAGACCAGCATGAATCAGCTGAGACCAGCTTAGACCAGCCTAGGTCTGTGTTGTTTATGCTGTCTTCTCAGGAGTAATACCTCGTAATATTTGGAATCTGCTCCACCTGTACACTCTTAAAGATGGTTCTTCAAGGGTTCTTTAGTAAAGACAATGCACCTAATTCTCCTCAATGATTCTATATAGAACCATGAACCCCCATAGAACTTGTTGCATGCTTAAAAGGTTCCTTGCCTCATGAAATGGTTGTTCAGATTGATGGAGAATGTGTTGTATATGGTTCTGTATAGAACCTTTTGAAAACGGTTCTAGATAGCACTGAAAAGCATTCTGCTATTTTTACGATATCAAACTTATAACAACAAAGGAGTCCTTTTTGGTGCTCTATAGAACCATTTTCAAAAAGGTTTCTATATAGAACAATATACAACACATTCTCCATCAATCTGCAGAACCATTTCATGATGCAAAGAACCATTCAAGGATGCAAATGAGTGTTGATGGTTCTATATAGAACCATTGTCTTTAGTAAAGAGCCCTTGTAGAACGATCTTCAAGAGTGTCTATAAATGTGTTGATATGATAGCCAGTGTTCAGGTCAAAGCAGATGAAGGCCACTAACATCACACATTAAAGAGGAATTCCAACAAAGCCATTCAGAGTGGTTTGATGTGAAATGGTTCACTGTAGATAAACTTACAGACTCAGATTTCATTACAGTGGTGGTGATAGGAACCAGAGGTTGCAACGTCTGCAGGGTGAATAAAGCCATTTTATTTGCTGTCCAAAATGACTAATGAACATACACGGTTCATGAGTTTTTGTATGCAATGATTAATAATGGGAAAATAGTGGTAAATTGGCAAAAATAAGTTTTAATTGGCTACTTCTTTGCTTTATAATGCCTTAGATGTATCTCTTGGCAATGAATTAATACAAAATTTTAGGTGAAAACTTTATCTCAAAACAATCATTAAACAATGTCAGGCAACTTCACCATTTTATATAATAGCTTTCCGTGAGGGAGCTTTTAGAGGCTTTAAACGCTTTGGATGTCTGGTTCCTGTCACCACCACTGTGAACAAGTCTGACAAGTTTGACATTTCATATCAAACCACTGTGAATGACTTTAGATCTCAAGATATAATTATGCAGAAAATCAAAAGTGAAATATTTGTGGACTTCCACTTTAATACTCATGCTTCTTTGCATTTCTGTCACACTATTCAGGGATAATATAGGCCTCATATGTATGAAATTAGATTATCTTCAGCTGAAGTTTATCACACACGCAACGTATATTCATAGAACGTGTTGGCCTAATTAGTAAACTGTTGCTGAGACCCGAAGCTACACAATTCCTCCACCACTTTCACTAAACAAGACTTCTTTAGATTATAATGGAGGCTAAGTAGCCACTTACCCTATTGAAGGCCTGCTCATCTGTGCTGAGTTGAATGTTCGTGCTTTTTGTTGGTGCGCACTGCGCCCTTGTGGCAACACTCAGTAATTACAGGTACATTAATTGCTGTTCCGACTGTAGCCACATGGTGGCGACAAAGGCTAAAAAACGCTACTGACTTTTCATTCGGTGTAGCCTAATAAATACCATTTACTCATTTTAATTACAGTATCATAGTGCAATTATAAAACGACACCTTTCAAGAGTGCTCTGCTTTATGTAACTCAGTGGTATGAGCTTCCATAGCTATTGAACGTGTATAGGGAAAGACTCTCATAAGAACAGCATCCATTTAATATAAAGCTACATTTTTCCCTTACAGGAAAAGTAAATAGTAACAATTACAAACTGAACATTTCTATATTGCTGTATGATACATACACTGATCAGGCACAACATTATGTTTCTACACTCATTGTCCATTTTATCAGCTCCACTTACTATATAGGTGCACTTTGTAGTTCTACAGTTACAGACTGTAGTCCATCTGTTTCTCTGCATACTTTGTTAGCCTCCTTTTACCCTGTTCTTCAGTGGTCAGGACCCCATGGACCCTCACAGAGCAGGTACTATTTGGGTGGTGGATCATTTTTAGCACTGCAGTAACACTGATGTGGTGGTGGTGTGTTAGTGTGTGCTGTGCTGGTCTGAGTGGATCAGACACAGCAGTGCTGCTGGAGTTTTCAAACACCTCAGTGTCACTGCTGGACTGAGAATAGTCCACCAACCAAAAATATCCAGCCAACAGCGTCCTGTGGGCAGCATCCTGTGGGCAGCATCTTGTGACCACTGATGAAGGACTAGAGGATGACCAACATGAACTGTGCAGCAGCAGATGAGCTATCGTCTCTGACTTTACATCTACAAGGTGGACTGACAAGGTAGGAGTGTCTAATAGAGTGGACAGTCAGTGGATTCATGTATTAACATTTGACAACAAAATACATTAATAGATTCACCTCTGTTTAATAATCATCTAATGTGGTCTTATAGTAATAATAATACTTGTGTGCAGTTCTGTAGTAAACTATAGTAATTGACCAAATTTACTAAAAGACGTTGTAGGAATCCTGTTGAAATTCCTGCAGTATTACTAACGATTTCCTTCTTAAGGTCATGTACAGGACGATGATGCATAAACCAACAGTTATATTATCCAAATTGGAAGAAAAATCATGTAAAAGGCTGCAACAGCAGCCCAAGATGACCACCTACATGGAAAGGAAGCCCCCTGAAGGATGGTAATCATGCAGTATTTGTCGTCTGATATTTACAGAGTATATAATTTATGTTAAATTTCAAGATTTCAAAACATGTTAATAAAGTATGACGTTGGAAATCCAAGAGTGACTCAATCTATTTGGGTTCTAATGTTTCCACCTCACTATATGTCCAGTCACAAAAAGGTGATCAACTGACCTCAAAAAGGTTTTGGTGGAATCAGTTCCAGAAATGCAGTCATCAAGAAGAAAATTCTGAATTAGCCACAGCATAGCATCCAGTAAATGTGTGAAGATTAGATTTGGAATCATCTGGAAATAAATTAAGATTTTACCCGACTGTAACGAGTCCACTACACAGTATATGCCTGTGTTGCTAACAAATGAAAAAGAGCGCACAGTGGCCTAAAACCACACTGCAGTGAATTTTCTTAATTTACCTATCATCTACTGAAGTGAACTGAGTAGACATAAAAGTATTACCATTAAAAAATGATCAGAAAAATACAAATCTGTGAAAAATTTGGGGTAAGGCCCAGTCCCATTTCACCCCTCGCCCCTACCACTTAGCTCTTAGCCCTCTGTTTTGCATGTTCACGTCTAGGGGTAGGGTGTCCCAATTTTTTGTTGAGATAGAGGGGTAGGGAAGTGTTAGGGCTACATGGCCCTCCAAACAGAGGTTTTTCAGAGTCTCACTCCAAACAGAGTGATATGAGAAAAAAATAAAAACCAGTAAGATGGCTGCGACCAAAGAAACCCACAAATGTGAGAATTTTCTCCGTTAAAAAATTACGATCATCGTATTTTCTTAGTTTAATGTCGTTTCAATGTATTCTGGTCCTTTTCTTCATAACAAGCATAAAAAATCACTAATATCATGCTAATGTCTAGGTAGCTAGCTAGCTAACTTTCCCGTTCCACCTTAAATAGTCCAGCAGTTCTGATGCCTGAAGCGCCAGAATGTAACTGTTGCACCATTTAAGGTGGAACAGGAAAATTCGAACAAGAAGCTGGTGAATATCTGACTTCAGCTTCGTATCACCAAAGAATTAGCGGTGGGCGATAATAAATAATTGTTTTCTAGCCCCTCTTTGAAAGCATTTGATGCCCTAAATGTAACTAAAGCCCAGCAGTGAGGTTGCTGAACTTGTCCCTCCTCTGCCATCACTGATGACGGGCCGGGTCGTCTACAGAGCAGCGCTAGTAGCTGTTAATGAAGTAATGTTTTTTTTATTTTTTTTTATTTGAGGGTCCCATTTCATAGGGCAAGATTTCAACCACTACCCCTACTTAGTGTGACACTCTAAAACAGGGGGTAGGGGTAAAAAGAAGCAAATGGAATTGGGCCTAAATGTAACTAGTTACTTCCCACTCACACACACACACTCACACACACTCACACACACACACACACGTAATTATATGCACACAGCTGTGGAAGACAGTTTGAGGTTTGTATGATTTATTATTAAAATGAGATCTTAACAAGTTTTTTCTCTTCTCTTCAACACACATTTCGCCTTAGTCCTGGGATTGCATTCACTCTTGTTGAATCATTCTTATCCACATGACAGTACACTAATGAAAGCATAAATACATCCAGACCTCTGTAAGAGTCTTGTATGCGTTTTGCACGACAACACAATGAACAGACATGTTACTGCCTCTCTCCGCTGCAGTTCTACTCCTTCTGACAAGGTAAATATTAACTTAATAATCTAACAAAAAGCAAAACATTTGTACATCATTTACATATTGGTAATTATAAAGCTTACAAAGCCTCACCAGCAGCAATCTGAGCCATTCTCTCCATCTGAAGGCCAGTCAGAGTACTTGCGTATTCGTGGGAGCATTGTGTGAGAGAGTGTATGTGTGTATGATCAAGAAGGTATATTCATTCGTAATGTATGCATATGTATGAGTTGTGTCTAGAGCACTGGTTCTCACCCGTAGTCCTGGATTGCCGGTGCCAAGCACGGTTTTGTATTGTCTGCTGTAACATAACTAGTTTAACTGTGGAAAAAAGGTTCCTTAATTAGCTGATCAGAATAAAGAAAAAACACTAAAATAGCAGGATGAGAGGTGAGAAACACTGCTCCTAGACCACACATTCCTTTCTTAGACCTCATTCCTAGTACCGTAGTAATGTTCTTAGTAAGTAGACAATTTAACAAAACACAAACAAAACAAAACCAAAAAAAACAATAAAAGCAAGTTAGCAACAATCAGAGTTTTTTTTCACAAAGCATGACTACTCTGTAACTATAACAACACAGATATGAAAATGATTACTTGATATGTATGCCTGAGTATGGATGTATGAGCTCAGCTTTATTTGTATAGTAACTGGTGTTCCCAAAAAAGCAGTGATTTCCGTGTATGTCCGACCAACCTGTGTTAACACGCTCCAAGATGTTAGGAATATTGATAAACTGAAGAAATAACATGTATAAGTGCTTATATGAAGCAGCTTTAAAGTGACATCTCACCCCTCCTGTCAGGCCCAAACAACACCACAGTTCACGCTATGGACACTGAAGTGGCAAAAATAAAGAGATATGTTTATATCATCTGTGTAAGCAGTGCCACTCCTCACGCTGTATGTGCTCATATGTTTATGTTCCCTGTCTAATCTAACGTGATCCTCTATGAAACAGCCACATACGTTCACATTCAGATAAAGCCAAACTTAAATCTGCGTTTAAAACTGAACTATCAAAGCTATCAGATCAATTAGCTGCTTAGCAACCCTGTTCTGTCCAATGGTACTTGGCACTAAAATTAGCTCAGATATTAACAGACTGACTAACACTGATCACTGAACATCACTGGCTGATACAAACGTAGGGAGACAGGTAGCTTGATGAAAATGGGTTCATTTGACTTTATTGCATGTAGAGGGCAGTGTTGTACATCTTAGATTTAGTTTTGACACAGGCAAAATTATATTCTGCCAATTTCCATGTTGGGAACCATCAAATTCCAAGAACAAACTAGGTAACACTTTATTTGGAGTGGTCCTTTGTAGATGATTAACAAGCTCTTAACAGAGTATCAGTAACACATCATAGCAGTAGTGAAGCATCTGAATACACTGAGCGCGTTTACATGCACTTAATAATCCGATAACCGCAGAAAATCAGATTTTGTCAGTGATCCGATCAACATGTTTATATGCACTTGAGAAATCAGATAATGGAAAACTCCAGGTCTACATGAGTCAGGCAGTAATTCTGCTTTGCAACCAGCCAATAAACTCACAGAAGAAGCCGTGACGTAAACGTAATGTAAAACTCAAACTTCATGCTGCAGCTTTTTTTTTTAAACATTGTGAGACTTAAAAAATGAACATACATCATTTAGAAGATGAAGAATATTTAAATCCTTTAGTTCGTGTTTTTGTTGCCGTCTCGCCGCAACGCTGCTGGTACCGCAGTCTGTTCTTGCGAGAAATCTGATAGAAATCAGAGTAAGAGTTTACATGCTCTGAGAAATCTGATTACTGAGCTAAAATCTAGCTCTCTTTTTTGGATTTCTTAATTGGATTTCTAGATCAGAGTTTGGTGTTTACATGACCATTTTTATAATCGGATAACTGCAGAAATCCGATTACGATCGGATTATTGCGTGCATGTTACTTCCATTACACAAAACCTAACCTTACCCAACCTTACTAAAACCTAACCTTAAACCTGGCCCTAATCCTAACCTTAACCTTAACCTCAACCCAAAACCTAATCCTATCCCTGACCCTGGCCCTAATCCTAACCCTAACCTCAACCCAAAACCTAATCCTAACCCTCACCCTGGCCCTAATCCTAACCCTAACCTCAACCCAGAATCTAATCCTAACCCTCATATGTTTCTGACATGTTAATAAGAGTCTGTTGAGTGTTTGTTTCATATAAAAAGAACCACTCAAAGAAAAGTGTCACCACAAACTATAAATGTATTGATTTTAATTCTATGCTTGTAGACAGAGTGCGCTATCTTGGAGAAACCAGCCGTTTCAAACTAAATCAGAATCCCCACATATAAACATACCGCCTCACTCACGTAAAACACCTGCATATCGTACACTCAGAAACGTACTCATGTTTGCACACATACATAACACAACCGCAAACGTAATCCTTCCTTGATGAGTCTAAGAGCAAATAAACCTTCATATACCACTGTAATCACTTCAAGCTCTCTACAGAGTCTACAGTGAGAGCCATTTGTGCTTTCTACCCTGTGCACAGCACAACAAAACTGTCATTAATGTGCATGTAGTATATAATAAGCATGCTATGAACCTAATTACACGTTATTCTGCTCTCACTTTAGTCAGTGAACCACCATTCACTCTCACACAGACTATGCAAGCAATACAAACACTGCCTTTTATTGCTGACCACGATTGCCACTATAGTATCTCAATTCTCAAGGCCTCAATTTTGGCAGGACCTTGTATGAGTACACTACTCTGGTTTTATCTCAGTAACTAATGATTGTAAATGATCACCATTTACATAAGCGCACAGTCATGTGACACTGAGGTCAATACTCAGTTATTCCTCCAGCGTAAATTTGATGGGACAAGTATAATGTAGGACCTGTGTGAACGTTTTTTGGAACCAGGTATTCAGGAGAGGTGAGACTCTTTTTTTTTTCTTTATCCCTCTAAAAGTTTCCATTTCAGTCAGGAGAGAGGAGCGATCGAGACATCTCTCGTTCCTACAACCAAGGTAAAACATTTCTATACAAACACAAACATAAGAAAACAAAAGTAACTTAGAATTTTCTTTCCTACAGTTTACAATATAAAACTCAAGTGCAATTAAAGTTCCAAATATTAGTTACAAAACATACATGTAACTCTATAGTAACCCTCTGTTACTGGCAGGTAGTCTTTTTCTTGCTATTTAGGTTTTTAAATCTATTTTTCCGTTAAAACGTCGTTGTTCACTGTCAGTCCATGTTCAGAACAGGATTGTGAAGTGACTCCATTCTCCATATTGAAATGGTTTTGAAAGAAATGTTTAAGTGCACCTGTCTTTCCAAAAAAGCAATCTTGTGCACGTCTGGGGCATGACTTTTTTTTTCAAAATAACAATATATATCCATGTGTGTATGAATGTACACGTGCACAGCATAGGCTTGCACATGCTTACTAACACACATACATATATACATGCACACGTACATACATATACAAATATATAGATATTAAACATCCAGGGAGTGGGTCTCTGCAAGTTGTAGCACATATAAATATTTAAAAGCATTAAAAAAAGGAACAAAAAAGCACAGAAAGAGAAAAAATGGAGAAAAGAAGTCAAAAGGAGACTCCAGATGAGAGGTAGGAGAAAGGCCAGACCTCTTTCTGTGGTAGGAAGGCATTCTGGGATCTAGCTAGCGTGCTGAAACGTTTGAGAGGGAGAGAAACAGAAAGAAAAGCAGAGGAGTATAGGAGAAAGGAGGCGTTTGAGAGGAGAGGATGGTAAAGTGGGTTTGGGAAAGAGAAGGGTTTCAGATTTTTATTTGTACGGCCGTAGAAACCTGGTAACTTTGGAGCGTAGCAGCTTAATAAAAGAGCGTGGGAACATCTCTTTGGACTCTTGAACTGTGTACTTGAAATAGTTATGAGGGTGAGCCAGGACGTCAAACAGAGCCTTAATCAGCTTCTTGTCCTGAAAAAGAGGAAGGAAAAGCACTCTTGCAGCCATTCTGATTCTACAGTTAGACCAAGACCAAGCTGAAGCTGCCTGGACAGCACTAATGCCGTCCCAGGCCTACCTCTGAGCGTACAAAGACAGTATCTTAAACCTGCACTTAGCCCGTCACTTAACCCTTGTGTGGTGTTGAAGTGTTTGTTACTCAGTGGTCTTTTTTTTTTACATTACTGTTTTTCAATCAATACAGCCATAACAATTTATGCAAAAATACCAGATGTTTAAAATATCACAAGTGGCCAGAATAGGGTTCTCCTTTAGCAGCTGTAGCCAGTCAGCAGCCTGTCCCTTTTGTTGTCCACCCTCACACACACACACACACACACACATTAACAGCAGGCCATGTAGGAGGACAACAGAGTGAAGGACACAACACCTCCACACTTTCATTCCCCGCGGGTTCACCCAACACCACATGTGTAATATAAATGTGTGGGGGGTGAACGGAGTGAAGACACTGAAAATGGGATATTTTATATGTTCTTCACAGAAAATGAGCAAAGACCAAGAAATCTGAGGTTGAAATAATAATAAATTGCATCATTTTTTCTTTTGGTAAACACTGAAAATGGGTCCTACAGACCCCAACAGCACACAGGGGTTAGACGCCATTGCTTTTCCCGTACTTGATACATCTGTTAGCAACAGTGGTTTCTGACAGTGACACTAAATTACTTAAATATGCTTTGTGTCTGAAAAGCATTCTCAGTGAGTGAGGTTAAGATGTGGTGACATATGCATCACTTTATACCACTTTACAGATTTTTATGAAGTATTTTATGAATTAGTCTTATGAAGTGTCATTATGAATAATCCAGCTCTCATGTGCTGAGATTAGACTTTGACTTTTAAATAGCTGCACTGATGATAAAAGATATAAAAGTCATATCTCACTTTTAAGATCTCCTGGTGATTCTCTGATGCGTAGAGTCGACCATCTCGAACAATATCCTCTATGAGCTGCTGGTAATCCTCTGTAATACAAAGTTTGGCATACTTTGACAGAGCTTTCATATCAAATCTTAATATTTATATTTAGAACATTGACTGATGTTAAAGATGAAGAGAAGTCTGACCATCGTAGGTGACATAGGGCACTTGAAAGCCCTTCCCACTGTTGCCCTCATTGGACTTGAACTGGATCCAGAGCTTACGGGATCGAGAGGTGAAAGCAATCGGTCGCTCGTATGTCTGACACGTCTCATAGGTTGTCACTGATGTGGGCTGAGCTAATAAAGAACAGGGAGGAGGCAAGTAAGTGAAACTGGCTGATTGTGACTGGCTAGTTAACTTACTTTCTACAATAATCACAAAAAGTGACCTGAAATGACTGAACACCAAGTTTAATGGACAAGCTGTATGAAAAACCTACAACTCTTCCTCATGACAAGCACATCCCCACACTCATCCTCAATGGGGAGGAAGATCTCAGGCACCACAATGAGGATGCGCCTCTTGTTGGGGGGGTTGATGGTCCAGACACAGTCCACATTAGATGGGTAGTCTCCTGGGTAGTTGGGGGACTCAATGTACCCCATAAAATCCCCCAGCTCTCCACCACACATTTGGTCTAAAGAGTGAATAAGTTAATAATTTAAATACAGAGTCTATTGTAGGATTTCAGGCAAGTACATCACTATTCAAACACATACCATGCACAATCATACAGTACATACTGGCACTTTAGTTCTCAAGCCCTAAACTTCTGTCCTACGATTTATATTGAATATTCAAAATTCAATATTGGCTACTAGGGAAAAACAAGGCCACTGCTCTCTTCATTCACCGTACTGATTCACTGTTTGTGGGTGTTTTCAGGACAATAGATTTGTGAGTGTGCACTTAATACTTAGAGCTTGTATTCTACGGAGTGCACAAAATCTTTCGTACTCACTAAAATTTAGTGAAAACAGCTGGTTCTAGTTGTGCAACTGATCTACTACAGCCTGCTATTTAAATGATGTCACCCGTAAAACTGTCTGATTGAATCCCCTAAGTGGTAATATATAGATCCACTCATAGCATATTCAAAAAGTTGTAGATAGAACACATAGTTTTTTAAGTAAATAATGCACCAACAATGTAAAAAAAACCTACACAGGCATTTTTTATAATCAATGTTGTCGAATTTGCCAATAATTGTTGCAACATCAATGTAAAAAAAACAAAACAAAAACAAATATCAGTCAATTTTCACTTTAGGACAGGCCAATGTTTTACTAAATCCTTCAGAACAGTTTTTACTAAATGTTTCGGGACAGTTCCTAGATGGTTTTAGAGCAGTTTCTGGGGCCATGCAATATTTTACGCAACTGCCTAATGTTAAGATCAATAAGAAAGGACAGAACATTTTCATTTAACTTAATAATTTTTTTTCAAAACTTAGAAATCAGAGTTGGACTAAGACTCACTGATAATACTGCTTATTGGTACCTGCTGTGCAAAACGAATGTGGAATTAACAACATTAACAACACTTCTTTTTTTTGTTATATTCTCCAAATATAATATCTGGTGTTGGTCTTGCCTCACTCTCGCCCGCTCCTGCTCTTGATTCAGACTAAGCTACTAAAAAGTCTTGGTCTTGATTCAGACTCCATATTGTCCAGGTTTCAGTCTTGACTTAGTCTTCCCTCTAATATAAGACTACTAATTTACTATACCAGGGGTCGGCAACATGCAGCTCCGAAGCTGCATACAGCTCTTTGCAGCACTTGATAACTTTGAGACGAATGGACTTATTTGCATTGATAATCACTCCAGCTGGTTTCCTGATATGTTTAATCTGCAACGAGAAACTGTCAAACACTAAAAAGTCACGAAGCTGAACTCAGCTTCTCGTTCGGCAGCTTCTCGAGGTTCCACCTTAAATCGTGCCTGCTTGGAAAAGTTTCCTGCCGGAGATGCGTGAAAAGCACCTATAGCTGAGCTAAAGCCTAAAGCAGAGCAAAGTAAGTCTGTGTATTTGTTTATATTATATTTTTATCCTGTACTAGTACATTAGCACAAACTGAGACACTTTTACAGCCAAGATGGTAAAATGGACATAAAATGTTGTGGCTCCCAAGATGGTTTAATTTTGCTGAAAGGACAAAATGGCTCTTCTTAACATTTGGGTTGTCGACCCCTGTACTATGCACACTTGCTGCAAACAACACTTCTTCGGCAGCTTTTTAAAAATTCAGCTATTTTTTGTACATATATCTTGTAGAATCACACATGATGTAGCCTTACTCTTGCAGTGAGACACGTTTGTGGCACCATCAAAGTCAGTGGTGGTGTTTCCGGGACAGGTGATGCAGTAGTTTTGCCCAAACTCAGACTGGTAGGTGCCAGCAGGGCAACGGATACAACGGTGAGTGGTGGAGTTGTAGTAGTGTCCTGAGGCACAGTGTACTACACAGAGAGAAAGAAAGCAAGAACGGGAGTGAGAGTCGGACAGGAAGAAGGAAAAGCAATATTAAACAGGTAAGGCAGGAAAGAAAGTGGGAAAAAACAGAAAATGACACAAATAGAAAGTGTGGTTGGTAATATGTGGTTGAGTCAAATATGGTTTGGGCTGTGTTACCTTTGGCTTCACAGTCTCTAAAAGAGGTACTTCCAATGTATTTGGTCATAAGTCCTCCTCCGCAGGGGAAGCAGAGTACGCGTCCCGGCTCTGGCTGAAAGGTGCCCAGTGGGCATGGCTGACATGGCCGAAAGCCATCAGCAGAGAAATGACCAGCAGGGCATTGACCTACAACCAGAGAGTGGAAATTCTCACCAGTTTTCTCATACACTCTTACAAACTCCTTGATCTGCAGGCTTATTATTAATTTTTGTAATATTAAGACTTACTATTCATTAAGTACTACAAACGTTTTGCTAAATATCATGAAACAGACAAAGGTTATCCAGTCATTAGAGTGAGGAACTGAAGTGCTGGCCCAAGGGGCTAATTTCTAGATTTCAGTGAATGTGATCTAAAGTCCACAAGGGTGCGCCAAAGTAGTCAAATTGGGTCCATTTCAAAAATTTTGCCAGCTGCTCCAAGCCCAAAGCCAATCATTTTTCATCCCTCTTGCGCTCCCTTGAGATTACCAAAGTAGCCTTCCTCTGCCTGAGAGAAGCCCCTACGTTTAAATAATAACATGAAATCAGATTTTCCATATTGATCTTGCACTTCAATGCTATTGATTGGGTTCGGGGATGTTCTGGGGGTCGGGGATGGTGCTGCATTAATCAGCCCCTATAATCAATGTTTGGTATTACCATAACAAAGCCATTCATTGATTTGGCTTAGTCAAATGTGTCTCCACATGTGCACACACACCTCCACACTCAGAGACATTCTTGGCCCCCACAATACCCTGGGACTCAGTACTAGGGCAGGGCTCACAGGACAGCTGGCCTTCCATGTCTTGATAGGTTCCTGGAGGGCACTGCACACACTGCTCTTGCTCACCACTGTAGAAAGTCCCTACACTGCAGCTGACTGGGAGACAGACACGCACAGCACAGTCACAAAAGCAAGATCTACATTTATCAGTCATTTCAAATAATACCTCCCAAGCAAAGGCCCACAGATAAGAGTTCAGTTCCCAATGTACCTACCGCACTTGCCGTCTGTGAGGACCTGCCCCGTGCTGCAGGTCTCAGCGCCCTCTGACTGTCGGGCAGCGCGCTGGGCCACCTCGTAAGCCGTTCCCGAGAACTGAATGTAGAACTGCTGCTTGTTGATGGACTTTCTAAGGGTTCGTAGAGTGTTCTGCAGCCTTTGCTTCGTCTTCTCCCGCACGCAGTCCACATTACACGATTCTGACATGCAAAAACACCCAGATACATTCATTACATTCAATTTTTTATTCATTCAAATTCCTGATAAGCAATAACGTTGAACAGACGCACACATGCACATGCATACCTGAGGCCTCCTCCTCCTTCATCTCCATCTCAAACTCGGCAGTAATGTGCGAGACCTCTTTAGAAGGAGACTTTCGTCCACGCCGGCGCTTTTTAGAAGACTCGCATTTCAGATTCACAAATGTCACCTGGCAGTCCTCAGTGCAGGGGAACTGACCTCCTGAGACAAGGACACAGAACATAGGCGGGACAAAGAGTGTCAACGGTATAAGAGAGGAGGGGCTGAGACTCAAGTGTAGGACACAGGGAGGGCGTTTAAGGTGATAATTCAGTCACTACATTATGCTGCACGAAAACTCATTAAAGCATTTACACATCTAATAGGCTTTAGTTTGGGAAAACAGGGCTGGACGGCTCACCTTGCAAGCTCTGCTTCGCCACATCTCGGTGCTTCTCTTTACTGCGGGGTCTCAGGTGGCACTTAGCGTCCTTGATCTTAAATCGAGCCTTCTGCTTAATGGGCTGCGCCAGCGTCTCTGACGGACAAGAGGAAAGGAGGAGCTTGCGCGTTCACTCATATTTCAACATGCCAAATAAACATCACTAAAACATCAAGTCTCCAGGACAAAAATGCTGTCTGTTTTGCAAGCTAAGCAGATACGTCTAAAGTATTCCAAATGTGAGAACCACTAAAGGCAGGGAGGTGAACTGAGGACAGGCTGTGCTTGTGGTCGTCTGCGGTCATTCTAGAACAGTCTCAGTGTGTGCTGAGAATGCTCTTTGGGACAAGGCAATAAGGGCAACAGGAGCTCAGGTCTAAACCGAACCCCATGGGGCTTTACGAACGCATCTACATTGCTTTCTCTCTTCCCCTCTTACACACACATGCCCACATACGAACGGTATGATGTGAACTATGAGTGAACCATGTGTGTAGCGTGTTTCTCGCGGGCCTACGCAGGGCTTTCTGGAGCGGCTGCGGTCGAGTCCAGCCTGTGTATTTCATATCTGTCAGCAGACAGAAGATCAGCCAGAACAGTGTCATTTAGTCAGGTTCAGAGCATTCCTCTGTGCTCTGTCCAACACCAGGAGCTGTGTGTCTGTCTGAGCACTGAGTCAGTGTCCAAAATCTACAGAACACAACACACTGGGAAATGTAGAATTCAGCAGCTTCTCAGAAAGAGAAGGATATGGCAGTCCTAATGTTACATTCTCGAATCGATGTGTGTGACAAGTACACATTTACAATGGTTTACAGTCTTGCAGTTATTCACTTCACAGCTGGCCCCAGGCTCTAGTTACTTCTAGGGCTGTCAAAATAAAATTTGAATTTCCGTCCAACACAATGAAAAAATGCAAATAGAAAAACATCGATTTAAACGTTTAAAGCTGTTTAAAGCTGTTTAAGCTTTAAGTAAGTGTTTGAGGCAGCTCAGCTACACAACGGTTACCAAACAGTGGGAAAAACATGCCATTGCTGACCATAAATCAAAGAAAAAAATAATCTATTTTGGTTTTATTTAGGTATTTTAATGCAAAGAAATACTTGCAAACATCCAACAGCTCTTTAGCAATTCAGCCACTCTGGACTCTGGACTCTAGGATCTGCTTCAGGCTTTTCTGACAAGCCAACGCACAAAATGCAGGCTCTCTGTAGTGTAGTAAGCTATTAATCACATAAGGTTTATACACAAATAAGATAGCTTTGCTCAGAGGTGCTCATTCAGCCATTCACCATTTCACTGGCCTGAAACGTGATATCAGCAGCCTGGGGGATTTTATGGAAAAGTCATTGTGAAAATTAAGCCTCTGACAACCATCTCACACCTCCAGGCTTACAGCCACTGGTTTAAACCATGAGATATTGGGATGCTTGACATTTAAAAGCACACTTATGGATTTAGGACACATAACGTTTGACCAACATACTAGGGGGAACTTTCGATTTAATTTCTGAGCCAAGTTGACAACTTTAGTAACTTCATCAGTTCCAATAAGTATTTGATGCGTTTGATGCAAGTTGGGTATTCTGCAGCTGCTCTGTCTGAGTCGTGATGACATTTTCAGACAAAGCTAGCAAACATTTGTATCAGGTCTTGAGAGTAAGCATTAGGAGTGGAAATCTCTAGGCACATCGCAATTCGATTTGATTCAGGGTGCCAAGATATGATTACAAAGCGATTCTCGATTTATCTTGATGCATCCCGATGCATCTCCATTTTTGATCATTAGAGCCTAGTTTATAATTTTTTACAATACTGCAGGCCAGCAGGGGTCGACAACCCAAATGTTAAGAAGAGCCATTTTGTCCTTTCAACAAAAATCATTATTTTATGTTATTGAAGTAAAGTTTTACCATCTTGGCTGAAAATGTCTTAATATGTGCTAACTAATGTCATAGTATAGACTAAAAAATATATAACACAGACTTAACTTTGCTCTGCTTTAAGCTTTAGCTCAGCTGTAGCTGCTTTTCTCACATCTCTGGCAGGAAACTTTTCCACAAAAGAATAACAGTTTCTTGTCAAATGTCTCTCATCGTTCGACTTTTTACAAGGCTGAAGTCGCTTCTCATTCACCAGCTTCTTCTTAGAATTTTCTCGTTCGTTAAATGGTGCCTGAGGTGCCAGAATGTAAGGTGGAACAGGAACATTTGAGCAAGAAGCTGGCGAACGAGAAGCTTCACGACTTTTTGGTGTTCGACAGTTTCTCGCTGCAGATTAAACGTATCAGGAAACCAGCTGGTGTGATTATAAATGCAAATAAGTCCATTCGTCTCCAAATTATTGATGTTCGTCTTGAATCTCTCTCTTTGCCTTTTCGTTAGCTACTAGCTAGGCACGATTCTTGTCTGCGTTGCTATGGTGACCAACAGTCTGCGCACCAATCCTTGGGGTTAAAGTTTAATTAAATTAGCTGTTCTACATTAAATCCACCGTTTCAGACCATTTATTGTTAAAACTGTGTTGAACGATCAGCAGAACTTTATTTTACTGCAAAGGAGGATTATTTTATTTTTACCTAAAAATCCAATTCTGCCATGGAGCCGCAACAGAGCAGTAAACCTAGTGAGCATATACAGAAACTTGGACAGACATGTAAAGACAGACATATAGATAGACAGATAGACACTATACAGAAAGAGTTGGAAGGGGGAGGGGCATGAGAAAGAAAGACGGGGGTGAGGTTACCTGTACAGCTCTGTAGAGATGAAGTGCTGGAGGTAGTGGTGGTGTTCCTCTTTGGTGCCACTTTGCCTGGTTGTACTGGTACTCCACAGCTCAGAGTGTAACTGTTTTCAGAGTCTACACACAAAAAAGAATGTTGAGTGTGTGAGTATTTCTTTTTATGTATTTTTTGCATGGTTTACTTTCTATGTGCATATGTTTTCTGTGCGTATGCATGCTCGGGTGTGTATGTTGTCTCTGTGTGTGAAAGGCACGGCTTGACTGTCAGAATGCCAGAGTGCAGTGAGGTTGTCAAGAGAGCAATTGGCCGGAGTTTAGCCTGGCCACAAATCGTTCAATGGCAGGCTGAGTATTTCTGTTGGCCTACCACTGCGAACCCAGGAGTGTACAGGATTAAAAGAGGTTTTATAGAGCTCTAGCTCTCATCGTATGAAGAGACTATTAACACGCTCACTCACTCACACACACATACACACGCACACACACACACACACACACACACACACACACACACACACAATATACTTAAACTTTTTATAGGTTGTACATATGCTTCCTAAGGGACATGTGGGATTAAAAGAAGATTTATATGGTTCTTTATTACCTATTATCAAAGCACACACATACACACACACACACACACACACACACACACACTGAGATGAGGAATGAAAATGAGTTTCACCGAGAACATAAAGGGAAGATGATTGAGTGGCCGGGCTTTTGGAAGCCCCACTCTGTTCTCACCCTCCTTTTCTCCAGAAAGATATAAAAGCAAATATTTCACTTCAGGAGCCATCCATCAGCCTCACACACACCTCAGCCAACCCAAACGCAGCACGCGTTTATTTAAAACACGGCGGATATGCGAACGGAAACAGCCCTGCATTACGGAATGTAATCGCTCTCAAGACATGCCTCATTTAGGCACTGTGAAAATGAAATGATGCTCCTCTCTGCTATCCTTCAACATGGCGCAGGCCAATCCAACCAACTTTCAGATCTGTACAAAACGAGTAGCTAGAATTCCAGAACACGATCCTATATAATGTCATGTCGAAAGTTAACTTTTAGAATGTCTGTGAAAAATAAGCTATAAATATGATTAACGCAGTCATAAAATACTACATTATGCTTTTAAAGCATACTTTGTTGTCAATTGCTCACTGAGCATCCAAAATGTTGATGATCCAGGGACATGTTTTTCTCAAGAAAGGTTGCATGCGTGTGACCATCTACAGCTGCTTCAAACCATTCTCCTCTGCATTAGTGATTCCTGATCTCAGTGAATGTCAGCTTGATTTTATTTGGAAATATATAACTTGGCATCAAGCTTTTAGGTCAGTCAGACTTGGCACATTCACACAGTGAACATGGAATAGCTGAATGGCCAATAAGAGTATGTCACAGGTAACAGGATTGCAGTTACGCTTCTAAAAAGTGTGATGAGTAGCAAAGGCCACAAGATGCCAGCAAAGAGTGGAGAATCTTTGCTGTGTCATCATAGTACCATGCAGTCACTCTCCTGGGCAGCAATACGGTTCAATAATATTGATTCTGAATGGGTGATGGCGCGACCTACCCTTGCCCTGAGGCAGGGGTCGGCAACCCAAACGTTAAGAAGAGCTATTTTGTCAAGTTTCAACAAAAATCCAACCATCTTGGGAGCCACAATATTTTACGTCCATTTTACCATCTTGGTTGTAAATATGTCTCAGTATATGCTAATGTAATATTATAGGATAAAAAATATGTGAATGTGAATGAAAACACAGACTCACTTTGCTCTGCTTTAAGCTTTAGCTCAGCTATAGCCGCTTTTCTCACATCTCCAGCGAAAACTTTTCCGCAAAAGTAGAACAGTTTCTTATAAATACTTTAATTGCCAGCTTTTTGTTCGAGTTTTTCCGTTCCACCTTAAATGGTGCCGGAGACGCCAGAATGTAACCGCTGCACCATTTAAGGTGGAACAGGAGAATTTGAATAAAAAAGCTGGTGAACATCTTCGTGACTTTTTAGTGTTTGACAGTTTTTCGTGGCAGATTAAACGTAACAGGAAACCAGCTGGAGTGATTAGAAATGCAGATAAGTCCATTCGTCTCCAAATTCTTGATGTTCGTCTTAAATCTCTCTCTTTGCTTGTTCGTTAGCTACTAGCCAGGCGAGGATCTTGTCTGTGTTGCTATGGTGACCAACAGTCTGCGCGCCAACCTTCAGGGTTAAAGGGTGAATTAGCAGTTCTACAGTAACTCCAGTGTTTAAGACCATTTATTGTTAAAACTGTGTTGAACGATCAGCAGAGCTTTATTTTACTGCAAAGGAAGATTATTTTATTTTTACCTAAAAATCTAATTCTGCTGTGGAGCCGCAACAGAGCAGTAACAGAGCTGCGTGTTGCCGACTCCTGCCCTAAGGCAATAACTGGAAACACAGACATTGTTCAAGTAAGGCTAAATGAGCTGATCTGAACTGAAATGCACCTGGCTTCACTTCATTGGACTGAAATGAGCAGAACTAAACAAAACTCAAGTGAACAGAACTTCAATGACCTAAACTGAGCTAATTGTAAATGAATGGTACTGAACTGAAGTGAACTGAGCTAAGGAGAACTGACCTGAATGGACAGAAACAGCATGGGGCTGCAGAGAAGCACTGACCTGCCAGAAAGAGGGCGTTTGATGGACAGGACAGAGAGCACACCTCCACGCCGCCTGTCTTGGTGCAGCTGAGCAGAGCGCGAGGAGCTGGCTTCCCATTGGGCAGACAATTCACCGCCTCTGAGGGTCACACAGGGTCACGTAACCATGGAAACACCACACACACAGATGCATGCACACACACACACACACACAGTAATATGCGTATACAAACAAGATCAGGAGCATAATGGGTAAAGAGAGGGATAAGAGTGAGAGCTTACCAACGCAGTCCTTCTTATTCCAGTGGAGCTTCTGTCCAGGAGGACAGACGCACTCATAGCTACCCTGCGTGTTCACACAGCCATTCTCACAGCTCCCGTTATTGATGCTACACTCATCAATATCTGAGAAAACAAACACACACGTGCATGTCACTGGGGATATGCATGATATAAATGCCCAAAAAACGTTGATGTCTAGAAATCTAAAGTAGTTTACAGGTTTGTGAAAAAAGAGAAAAAGCTTACGAAATGCATTTGGATACATTTACACACACATACAGGAAAACTAACATAATAAGGTCTATTCAGGAGCACGAGAGGGTGAGTAGCTGTCGGCAGTGGCCATCTGCACATGCTCAGTTACCTCAATTACAAGACAGCACACTTGTGTGTGTGTGTGTGTGTGTGTGTGTGTGTGTACATGTGTGAACACACCTCCACAGTGTGTGAGGCCGTAGAGAGTGTAGCCTCTGTGACACACACACTCAAAGCTTCCAGGGTAGTTGATACAGGTGTGATCACAAGTCCTCTCAAAAGAGCACTCGTCAATATCTGCAGTGGAAGGAACACAGGCCTCATCAGCAATGACAAACCACCTTTACAAAATCACTGCTCACTAATCGCTCATCATTAGAGATGTAACAATACAACATATCATTAGAGCTGGGCGATATGGCAAAAACGGAATATCACAATACTTCATGAAGCTTTCACGATACAATATGTGTCATGATATTTAGTTTTTCTGAGATTTAATAAGTTGGAGGAGACAAAATCGAACCTGTAGTGACACATATACAAATACTGAAGTAATACTAATGCTATTATTACTACTGTAAAAGATGAGATGCTCAACTTAAAACGATATAGTAACTAATTTCATGGCTTTTCTTGAGTTGACTCAACTTGAGGACACCAGAGTTCACACAACTCAAACTTCTTAGTCAAGAATTCTCTCAGCTACTGTTTCCAGCTCTGCATCTCAGTTAGATAAACAAAACTGAATGTTGTTTTACTAAGTTTCCCTACTAGCTGGCGCTCCTTCTGTCACACAGTCCCATCTGGCATGTTTTCCTCTTGAGCTTCTGGATATGGACAGCTGTGGTATTGGTGGGATTCAAACTCACAACCTCCTGATGTTGGGATGAATTATTAGACAGTTGCACCACATGGGATGATGCCATGCTTTAAATTTAAAACAACAAATATTTTCTCCAGTGTATTAAACATTTGTAGACACAAAATCTGAGTTGTTTTATGTGTTCCTGAGTGGTGCAGTGGACCAAGCCATAACACAACAGGAGGTTGTGGGTTTGAGCTCCAGCCGTAGCTGTCTGTAAGTGTGTACCCTCAAGGAAAAATGTCTAGCAGGATTGTGTGATGGAGAGTTGTGGCTAGTGGGGAAGCATAAAAACAAGTTAATTTAATTTACCAAACTGAGATGCAGAACTAAAAAATTAAGAGAACTTTTGACTCAACTAAGTTTGAGTTGTGTGGACTCTTGTGTCCTCAAGTTAAGTCAACTCAAGAAAAGCCATGTAATCAGTTACTATATCATTTTGAGTTCAGCTGACCTCTCATTTTTAACAGTGTACTACTGCTACAACTATTACTACTACTACTAATAATAATAATAATAACCTATAACTATTTTTATTTAATGTTCTACAAACTGCACTGCACTAAATCCAGTTAAATAAACCTCTTTATCTCTACATCTATCACTACATCTTGTACTGACTAATTACATGTCTAAGTGCTGACACGTCCAATATTTCCAATATTTCCAATATGACAATATTTAATTATGATATCAATAAAATAACACCATATTGCCCAGCCCTACATATAATATCATACTGTACTGAATTGTATCGCAGTGTATCGTATCATTGTATCATGACTAGCTGTTAGTTTGTGGCTAGTGTGTTAGCTTGGGGCGGATTAGTATAAGTATAAATTACAGCTTTCGCTTCAAACACTTTACTTTTATTAGTTGAATAATAAACTGAAAACAGAAACAAACATAGTAACACAAGGCAGCTTTTCAGGCACTCCTCATTTTGGCTGCATCGAAAAATCAACTGAATTGAGACGCCATCATATTGTACCAAATGGAATAATTCATTTTGTGAACTGTTACATAACTAACCACTTCCCTTCTCTCTGCCTTCTACTGTCCCAAGCAATAATGTGAACAGGCAGAAAATGGTGTTAGTGCATCAGATGAGACATTTTTTTCTGTGAAGAGGAGAGATACCTGTCTCTCTTCTCTCTCTCAGTTCAGCCACAGTGCCAACAGGCAGAGAGCCAGAGTAATGAACCCTCCCCTTACGCCCACTCTGCCATACACACACACATTAACACACCCACACCCACACACACATACACACACACATACACACCCACACACACTTTCACCTCAACCACAACTATTTTCCCTGGGTTAACTGGCATGGAAGGAGCAAAAACAATAAATAAATAATTCAAAAATAAAATCCTAAGTATATAATTATCACTTGTCAGCAGACACATGTCAACCCAGGGTTTAAAGCATGATGGAATGAAAACAGTATCTACTGATGGGATACAGAGAGCGAGAGAGAGAGAGAGAGAGAGAGAGAGAGAGAGAGAGAGAGAGGGGGGAAGAGAGGAGAAACAGAGACAGACAGATAAGAGAGAGAGAGGGAGAGGGGAAGAAAGCAAGAGAGAGGGAGAAAGAGAAGGAGAGAGAGAGAGAGGGGGAGAGAGAGGGGGAGGAAGAAAGGAGAAACAGAGACAGGCAGAAAGGGGAGAGAGAGGGAGGGGGGGAAAAGCAAAAGAGAGGGGGAGAGAGAAGGAGAGAGAAAGGAGGAGGGGTAGAGACAGAGGGAGAGGGAGAGACAGAAGGGAAAGGAAGAGGAAGAGAGGAGAAACAGAGACAGACAGAAAAAGGAGAGAGAGGGAGAGGGGAAGAGGAAGAGGAAGAGAGGAGAGACAGACATAAAAGGGGAGAGAGAGACACACAGAAAGACAGAGAGAGAGAGAAAGAGAGAGAGAAAGAGAGAGAGAGAGGGAGAAAGGAAGAGGGAGAGAGACAGAGAAACAGACAAAAAGGGTGAGAGAGAGAGGGAAGGAGAGATAGCATGGGACAGAAGGAGAGAGAGAAGGAGAGAGAGAGAGGGAGAACAATAGAGAGAGACAGAATGTAAGGAGAGAGAGATGGAGAGAGGAGAGGGGGATTAAGTGAGAAAAGAGAGAGGGGGAGAGCGAAAGAGAGACAGACAGAAAGGGGTGTGGGAGGGGGGGGAGAGAAAGTGAGAGAGAGTGACAGACAGAGAGGTGATGAGAGAGACAGAAAGAGGGGGAGAAATGAGAGGGAGAGAGATTCAGAGATTCTGACACTGGGGGGTCTTAAAGACTTGAAATCATGAACGTACGTTGCCACAGTCAGCCACCTCACGCTGCCACCCGCTCTGTGCAAACAAACACACGCACGCACACTCAGACCCAGGGAAAGGGTGGCGTTTGGGTTTACCTTAATAAAATCATTTGTGTTTGTGCACTCATTCCTGCTCTGACATGTTTTCAGGAATCTGCTGCCATAGGCCTCCAGTACGCCCAGCAAAACACACAGACCCGCACAAACACAAACACAGCTATCCGCCTAACTGGGAAAAAAGTGCAACTACGCATCAATAAAGGCTTCATATGCTCCTCACTGCTTTTCTTAAATCTGTCCTACAGTGTTTTGATTAGCTACCTATCCTTCCTAACCACAGAAATTAAGGGTGGGTAACAGGGGCGATTCTAGGATCAGAGCTTTAGGGGTGCTGAGCACCCTATGAGAACAGCACCCCCCTTCCCTCTTTTTTTCTCATCATATCTTCTATAATTCTAACATTAATTAGCTGATATGCATACAGACAGTACTGGTCTGACACCTTGGCTTTAATATCAACACACAGGCCTATCAAAGCCACAACAGCTCGCCTCTCTCACTCGAATTCAAACAGAGGACATTGGTTGATTGATAACCTGCAACATTAGCTTGCTAGATAAAAACACTGGATAGCGTACAAGAACAACATACAGAGTGATCTGTGATTCAGCAAAAATGAGGACTGCTGCTAATGATTGTAATGTGTTGGTGCTGATTGATAAAGTACAGAAATCCTTGTCTGCGCTACTTACTGGAGCCACATTCACACTGTAACTGGCACTAGTGCGTTTGTGTGTTTGTGTGTGTGTGTGTGTGTGTGTGTGTGTGTATGTGCGCGCTCAGCGCAGCAACTGCATGGCTCTTGGGGAGAGCGGGGTGGGGAAGGATAGGAGAGAGAAAGTGGATCATACCATACCACTGTCACTTTGTTTATGCATCTATAAATGTCTTATTGCACAACTGTTAACATTGGTTATCGTCTACAGTACATGGTCCCTTGTTCATTCACTGGAGGGGACATGAACCACTGCACTGTCTTTACTTTCTATTTATGCATCTGTAAATACTGTAAGACAATATTTTGCTCTTGTTACAGGGCTGTGTACTGCTGCAATATAAGAATTTCCCTCTGGGATTAATAAAGTGATCGATCGATCTATCTATCTATCTATCTATCTATCTATCTATCTATCTATCTATCTATTTTCCAAACAAAAAACTCTTTTTACTCCTATTTTTAGGGGTGCTAGAACTCAATTTAGAGGTGCTTGCGCACCCCTAAAAAGGAGCTAGAGACGCCCATGGCGGATAAGAACAAATGCTGCAAGCAGGATTTTTCTAGGCTTCATTAACCTTTAATATATTGGGACATATTTCACAAGAACAGAATGCACCGACATACAGTGGCCTCATGGCGGCAGCAGCTATGGTTTACAGTTTTATTGGCATTTGTGCTTACCTTGACAGGTGCGTTCATTGGTTAAGAGCTTGTAGCCTTTCTGACAGCTGCACTCAAAGCTGCCCACAGTGTTCCGACACAAGTGGTCGCAGCCGCCGTTGTTCTCCAGGCACTCGTCAATATCTGTGAATATGAATGAAAGACAAGGGAATGCAGTGTTGACACAAGCCGAAGACAGAAATCAACACGAATGATATCTCATAAACTCTGCTCATACAAGCACAGCTCTCCTGCTGAACTCCTGCACACACGCATAGACACACACACAGGCTGAAAAACACGACACAGACGCACACTCACACTTGTAAAGGAAAGGAAACATACCATAAACATCTTAAATATCTCAGCCAGCACTGGAAAGCTCTCCACAGCCCAATAAAAATGAGAATCCAGTCAAATGGGTAGGACATTTACTTAAGAGTGTGCCTGGCTTATAGGAGTGTGTGTGTGTGAGAGAGAGTTTGGGGTTTCCTTTGCAGTTATTTAAATAGAAGAAGCAAACACGCGCTGGCCCGGATTTGAACTAATATTAACTGAACTGAGGCCGTAAAGAAAGTTTCCAACGAGCGCCGACCGCAGACGCACATGCCAACGGAGTACGGGACGTCACTGTGGGTCACGCACACGCATGAAGTCAGAGCTTCTGTCAACGTGCCAGGACACATAACTCTGCTCATTTTATCAGTCGTCCTTTTTTATTCAGGTAATCCTCTCCTCCTTCTCTTCCCTTCCATTCGTTTCCCTTACTCACTCACTCTGTTCGTTCTCTGACTTCCTCTCTTTTGAGCGCAGTATAACGGGCAGCCCTAAAACACAGTGACAAGAGTGTCTGTGAGCTTGCGTGCGTATGTGTGTGCGAAACGCAGCGGCCCGGCCGCAAAGTTCTCAGAGCTGTCTGATCGTATGATACGCATATTAGCTGGAACTAATGTGACACGATAGCCATGAAACAAGCTCTGCTCGGTTGCATTCAGAAACAAATATAGCATTTCCCGTTACACCTCAATCCAACACAGATATGCTTATGGAGGGGACAGTTTGATCGACAAGGTTCTAAAACTAAGACTACATACACTCCTAAAAAAAGATGGTTCTTCAAGGGTTCTTTAGTAAAGCCAACCATGAGTTCTATATAGTTCCATTTCATGCTTGCGTGGTTCTTTGCATGGTGAAACTGTTCTTCAGACTGATGGAGAACATGTTGTGTATGGTTCTATAGAGCATCTTTTGTGACATCATAACTATAGAAGAACCATTTCTGGTGCTACATGGAACCATTTTCAAAAAAAAAAAGGTTCACTATACAACACATTCTCCATCAATCTGAAGAACCCCTTCACCATGCAAAGAACCATTTAGGCATGAAATGGTTCTATATAGAACTCATGGTTCCAAATAGAAACATTCCCTTTACCATAGAATCCTTGAAGAACCATCTTTTTTAAAAGTGAACCTTTAAGAACTCAATGTAAACTCAGGTTTTAGGATTTTTCTGAAGCAAAGCCTAAATGATGCCAAATCCATTCAATTGGTATCTAATTAGTAATATGTGCTGTAAATGGTTCTACCAAGCACCAAAAAGGGTTCTTCTATTGTTACAAGCTTGACATCATAACAATAGAAGAACCCTTTCTGGTGCTACATGGAACCATTTTCAAAAAGGTTCAATATACAACACATTCTCAATCAATCTGAAGAACAAGAACTCAGGGTTCTACATAGAACCATTCCTTTTACTATAGAACCCTTGAAGAACCATCTTTTTTCAGAGTGTACCTTTAAGAACTCAACATAAACTCAGGTATCCAGAGTTTTCTGATGCAAAACCTGTATGATACCAAATCCATTCATTGAGTATCTAATAAGTAGTATATGTTGAAAATGGTTCTAAAGAGCACCAAAAATGGTTCTTCTATTGTTACAAGCTTGACATCATAACAATAGAGGAACGCTTTCTCGTGCTACATGGAACCATTTTCAAAAAGGTTCAATATACAACACATTCTCCATCAATCTGAAGAACAATTTGACCATGCAAAGAATCATTTAGGCCTGAAATGGTTCTGTATAGAACTCATGGTTCTAAATAAGCCCATTCTCCTTACCATAGAACCCTTGAAGAACAATGTAATTAGTAATATGTGTTGTACATGGTTCTTAAGAGCACCAAAAAGGGTTCTTTTTATTGTTACAAGCTTGATATCATAACAATAGAAGAACCCGTTCTGGTAGTACATGGAACCACTTTCAAAAAGTTCAATCCCCACACATTCTCCATCAGAACTCTATTCTCCATATAGAACTCACGGTTCTACATAGAACCATTCCCATTACTATATGACCCTGAACAACCTTTAAGAACTCAGTGTAAACTCAGGTATCCAGAGTTTTCTGATGCAATGCTTAAATTATACCAAATCCATTCAATTAATGTCTAATTAGTAAAATAATGCGATGCAAATCATTAGGAGACACGTCTGAAAGCTGCGTCTGAAATTCCTGAATCTTCAGAGGTACTGCAATGAACCTCTTCACCTCTGGGCACAGTGACTAATGGAAATGCGGACTAGGAATTCTGATCTAAAGCAGAGGATGGCCAGTGGCTGTATGGCTGTCAGGCCTATAGCCTGCTGGCACTTCTGATTTTCAAACAACATCTCCTCTAAATCCCTCTATTCTTATCCCCCTCTCCCTCCCCTCAGCCAGCTCACTGAGTCAGCATATCTCCTCTCTTTCACTTTCCCCATTCTCAGTTTTTCCCTGAGCCTCCAATTCTCTCCCTTCAGCATCTCCTTTTGTCTAACACAATATCCTCTTTACATTTCTGTACCTCCAGCTCTATAGTTTCTTTTTCTTCTATGGCCCTTTCTCTCTCTCTCTTCTATGGCCCTCGCTCCCTTTTACTGTCGCTTACACTCTTTTCTTTCTTTACTTGTGCTCTCGTCATTCTTTTCTGTCAGCCCCGGTCTCTCCACGCAACTCGTTCTTGGAAAGAGGCGAAAGAAGTCCAGGAGGGAAAAGTCAAAATGAGTCAGAGGCAGAGAGGTGAGTGGAGGAGAAGAGGTTGAAGACGAGAGAGATGAGGAGCTACGAGAACCATCAATAGAAGTTTATAGACACTGAGGCTTTTCTGATTGGTGCTGATTGGTGAGATTTGAACAGAACGGCCCGGAGCTCTAGAAGAATCTGGCAGGCTGGGAGTGGCATAGAGAGCAGACCCCAGGTCAGACAAGCACATTAAGTTTGTGAAGCATGGAGCACGACAGCTCTTAGATCTTAATGATGTGGGAAATGAAAACTGAGGAAGGCAGACTTTTGCCATATAAATCTTTTGTCAGCTATATAAAAATATCTGAATGATACCCCACCCCTGAAAAAAAAGTGTAGTCATCTTAGAGCTACATGCTACCACACGCTTTTGAGTGGACAACTCCAGAGACAGTGAACATTACTCAGCGTCTTACCATTGCTGAACTATTTTAAACCCAGATTCATGTGGCTTGATATTTACCCAGACCAGGGGTCAGCAAACCAAATGTTAAGAAGAGCCATTGTGTCCTTTCAACAAAAATTAAGCCACTTTGGGAGCCACAACATTTTATGTTCATTTTACCCTCTTGGCTGTAAAATATGTCTCAGTACATGCTACTAGCATAAGCTAAAAAATATAGTGTAAACAAAAATGCAGACTTATTTTGCTCTGCTTTAAGCTTTAGCGCAGCTATAGCCACTTTCCTCACATCACCAGCGGAAACTGTTCCACAAAAGTAGAATAGTTTCTTCTAAAATGACTGTTTACGAGGCTGAAGTCAGCGACTCAGTCACCAGCTTTTTGTTCGAGTTTCCCTTTCTACCTTAAATGGGGCAGCAGTTATATTCTGGCATCTCAGGCACCATTTAGGGTGGAACGGGAAAATTCGAACACAAAGCTGGTGAATTTCTAAATTATCGAAGTCCCTCTTAAATCTTTCTTTTTGCCTTTTCATTAGCTACTAGCTAGGCGAGACTGTGTTGCTATGGTGACCAACAGTCTGGTGTTTAAATCTATATAAGTAGGGTAAAGCTGGGGTAAAATTGAGGTTTATAGCTATGCTGGCTATAGCCAGAGAACCATCAGCAGTACAGCGCACAGTGTCCAGTGTGCAGGATCCTTTAGCCTGCTGCAGCAGCCCTTCTATGCCTTCTTTGAACTAAAAATATAAGAAACTCTGACCAAAAAGTAATACACAGGCTCTTCACTTCCCTCTGGCTGAGCATAAAGTTCAGGCTGCTCACGGTTCTTCAACAGGAGGATGCCTAACAATTGTAAGAAGCTAAGTTGATATCAAAATCCTGATTTTTTTTTAACTTTCATGACTGAACAAATATTTAAAAATGTAAACTAATTTCTAATATATAATATATAATATAGCAATGTTGGTGTTGTCATTAATGAATTCCTTAATTAAGTCTTTTCTCTGTTGCAATTACTGATAAGAGTAGTGCTATCAATATAATCCTAATAATCCCTAAACCCATACATGGACGGCACTATCTTGATTTATATTAAGTTGTCAGTAATACCTTGACATCAACTTTGATATCATTTATCTTATTATGTTAACCCAGGGGTCGGCAACATGCGACTCTTTTACTGCCCTGTTGCGGCTCCACAGCAGAATTCGATTTTTAGGTAAAAAGAAAATAATCCTCCTTTACAGTAAAATAAAGCTCTGCTTCTTGTTTGAATTTTCCTGTTCCACCCTAAAAGGTGCAGCAGTTACATTCTCTGTACATTTAAGGAGGAATGGGAAAATTCAAACAAGAAGCTGGCAAATGAGAAGCGACTTCAGCCTCGGAAAAAGTCGAACGTTGAGCGACATTTTACAAGAAACTATTCTACTTTTCAGGAAAGGTTTCCTGCTGGAGATGCGAGAAAGGCAGCTATAGCTGAGCTAAAGCTTAAAGCAGAGCAAAGTAAGCACATATTAAGACAGATTTTAAGCTAAGATGGTAAAATACTTCAATAAAATGGACATAAAATGGTGGTTTGATTTTTGTTGAAAGGACAAAAGTCAGGGACAATTTGAAATGACGGTACATAAACATAGCGTATGGGAGCGAACAAACGCCGAACTGGTTTG